TTCGTAATTTTTTTCCAAAACTGCAATAAATGCGTAATTATTTAATTAAAAAATATTATTTTAATTTTTTTGCCCATGTCAACATACTTAAGGAATCTAGCTATCTACCAGCTATGATGGGCTTTGTTGGTAATCCTTTCTCTTTTAATACTATATCTTCCTATTACTTTTGATATTATAATACAAACAACTTATATCATTTGATATCCGTGTATCATTTTTAATAATATTATGTATTTATAAATATATTAAATTATTTAACTAACATAAAATTATTAACAAAATTAATATCGAAAATGATTTTGAAATCTACACAGATTTTGAAAGATACATCTTTCTTGAAATAATTATGTTTTTTTTTTTTTTTTGGAAATATTCCATCGGTTCATCGCTTCGCGATTAGCCCGATTCGGGGCGGGTCCAGGATTAAGGCTTTAAACCCCTCCCAAAGGTGGTACTGGGGAGATTCGAACACATGCCCTCACCCTCACCTGCTCAGCTCCCATGCGCCAACTGAGCTACCACCATTTGGTAAATAATTATGTTTTCTAACTATACTATCTATGTATTTTATCATCATTTGAACTGCAAAAGAATACATCTGATATTGAATTACAATTAGTTGCTAAAAAAATCAACTATTAAAGTGAGTCATACTCATTAAGAGTCATTCAGGATTATCTTGTGCGCACTTGATTTTATTTTAGCTTAACTCTGCGAGTCGTTCTTAAACTGATGCGGGAATATATATCTGCATTGTTTAGGCTACATAGAATATGTGTATCATAATTTCAAACAAGTGTAGCAAAAAGTTCATAGCTGACATGGATGATATGAAAATAATAATTAATGACCTTCTATTAATTGATTTAATATTGTAATAATCAATTAATATATATGTATCTATGTCTATATACAACAATGTTATTAAAATCGAGATCTTGAGTAAAATCGGAATGAGATTAAAAAATCATAAAACGTAAAATCGTAATTTAGAAAAATCGTAAAAAATTCTAAAAATGTAAAAGCGTTTGGAATATTAGTAAAATCGTTTTGATGAAAAAAAAAATTGTAAAAACATAAAATCATACTGATAAGTCGAGATTTTAACAACAATAATATACAGTGCAAGGGAATGTTGTTAAAATCGAGATCTTAAGTAAAATCGGAAGGAGATTAAAAAATCGTAAAACGTAAAATCATAATGTAAAAAAATCGTAAAAAATCGTAAAAACGTGAAAGCGTTTGGAATATTAGTAAAATCGTTTTGATGAAAAAAAATTTTAAAAACGTAAAATCGTAGTGATAAATCGAGATTTTAACAATAATGCAAGGGAGGGCCTTCTGAATTGCTTACTAAAATATGTATATAAATTAACATAAAATATACTTTAATTCAGAAAAGATATTTAAAGTCTCATCCCATTAATACAGAGATATATACTTTTAATAAATATATAATAAATATATGATTTTACTCGAATTATAAGAAAGTGGAATACAATCATAATGCAGAGGTCTATACTTTTTAATCGAAGATACATTTGTCATCATGATAAAAATATTAATATTCAAGATTAAAAAATTTCCTCTAAATTAAATGATCCGAAAATATTATCACTATTTTTGCTCACCTCATTAAAATTTATCAATTATTTAATAAAATATTAACTAAATAAAAAAATTGCAAACGCGCGAACTAAACAAAACACAAGGTAATAAGCACTTTATTTCCATAAGAGGATTTTGGAGTGAAGAATATTAGTACTATATCAGTGCGAATTTCCACGAGACCTCCAAGCAAAAAAGCAACTAATATTTTAATTAATTCGTGATTCTTGAGAGTTTCGTTGAGATTTGAACTTGTGATTTTTTTTTTATGACACTTGTTGGATATGAGTCATATGACTCATACTTTGTACTCGAATAACTTATATTGAATGAATTAAGATAAATTTATATATCCACTTTTTATCTCTTTCTCTCTTTTTAACCTGTGATTATGTGTATTTGTACGTGTGTGCGTGTTCAGTGTGAACAATTATTTCTTTGCGAGCCAAATTTTTGGGTATGTTCGAGATAATGGCAGGAATAGGGACATACACAGTTATGATGCTAATCCCAATTCGTGGATCTTATATTGGGAATTGAACCAACCATAGGATTTGAAAATTTTCTCTTCCATACGTGCCAAAAAAAGCCCTTGCAGATATATACTGCTTGATTAGCGAAGTTGATTTCTAAAAATATTCTAAGAATTTTAGGCAAGAAATCTCCATTCCTGATTTGCGAATGCTAAAGTGTTGGGATGATTATCCCAAAGAAAGAGAAAAGACAAAAAAATGAAGCAAGTGGTAGGTTACGTACAAGAGCAAAGACTCAAGAGTCAAGACCATGTTTGTTGTCACTAAGAACTGCTCTTATGCATTGATCAAATTCAAAAGATTAATTACCCACAAAGCATATAATATTGAGAAATCGAAATAGTTCATCACTTCAGAGTACAAAATTGGTTTCTTCTGCTTTCGCAGCATGTGTATATTTCTCAAGATGAAATTTATAGCGATACGTTAGCATGACACAATTTTATCATCTTGCTTGATGATGATTCTATTTAGATTTTGAACACAAATCTTTAAAAATCTTTTTCTTTAATTTACCTAAATTTTACTCTTTCATTTCAAAATCAACCAAAAATATTTGTTCAATGTACAACTAATTATGTGACTATGTTATGTAATAGGGTTATGTTTATCTCATTTTACATAAGATAAACAACTTTCCTACACACACAAAAAGATTGGGTCTCATCACTCATTTTTTTTCTCTCTTTTTACCTGTGAGTCCCATTTGTAATTTTATTTCTATAACACAAAATAATTTTTTTCCTACAACATAAAAAAAGTATTTCCCTGTATAACAATAGTTCTTTACTACAAATACACATTCACGTATATATATGATGGTATCTAAGATGCACCTAATGTTAGGAGTGTAAGGAGCGTGTGAGTAACCAAAATTCTTGAAAAGAAGATGAAATTCAATTTTTATTTGATAAATTATAAAGAAACATTACGAGAAGTATAAAAATTAAAAGCCTGTTTGAATTATGTTTTAAAAAACAATTTTTTGATTTTCCAAAAAAAAAAAAAAACTCATTTGATAAGGTCTGTTTTGTAAAAATAGTTCTAAAAATTATAACTATTTTATACTTTTTAGAATTAAATTTGGAGAACATGAGATTATTTTGATTGTGTTCTGATTTTTTTGTTTTTAAAACCGTTTTATAGAATAGTTAATGAAATATGTGTTTTTTGTATTTTTTTGTTTTAAAAATCAAAACACAAAACAAAAATAACTCAAGATGTATTCTCTAAATTTGATTTTAAAAACAAAAAATAAGTTATAATTTTTAAAACTATTTTTATAAAATAGACATTATCAAACAATTTTTTTTTTAATTTTTTTTTCGAAAATCAAAAAACTATTTTTAAGAACTGAATTCAAACAGATCCCATGTATTAATTGTTTTTTATTTGTGTTTTGACTTTTAATTTAAAAAAAATACATAAAATACTTTTTTTATTAATTATTTTATAAAATAATTTTAAGAAGAGAAGAAATAAAATTATACAAAAACAGCTTTAAAAAAAAACATAACACAATCAAAACAGACAGATAGTATCACTAATAAGAGTCATGATAGGGGTAGCTAATAGCTAGTGGCTAGTGTCCTCCTTTATAAAGGCAATTACATAGTAGTTCCATCTAAGCACCAAACTTTTCACTTTATAGTTTTTTTTCTAATTTGGTTTAGTTGTTAACCAGTCAGATTTATTTCAAGTGAAATCTCAGCATTCTAGCATGTCTAAATCATATCAGTGTCATCTATGAGTTACTAAATAAAAATCATACCCCATAAAAAAACAATCAAATAAAAATAAAAACAATTGCACGAAATGGATCATATGTCATTTATTACAAATTTAATGAGGGTGACTAAAAGTTTTCCTTAAAGAATCAAAAGGCCTGCCTCACCTAGAGTCACGCCCAACTAGGCCAAATTAATCTATCATCCAAGAGTAAAATAAGGGATCTGCTTGCTCTTTTTCTTTTTTTCTTTTCTTTTCTCACTATTACCTTTACAGATTTCCCAAAAATGGAAAAGAAAAATTTAATGAAAATCAGATTCAATCACCAAGGCATTAAGTTTCTCTGATTCACCTAGTAATCTCTCTACTAGTTATGAAGACGTGTGAAAAGCTGAAAACAGCCTCAAACAGAAACAAAGGGGAAAAAATTATTAGAAACTGAGAAGTTTTCTTTTTTGCCAAAAGTAAAATAAAAAAGGGGTTTTATAAGAGTTATGTTGTAGGAAAAGTGATTGTGTCATGTTATAGAGATTCGTTTTGCGTGCCGATTTTTTTTTTTTTTTGCTGCGGGCCCCACAAAATGTTGTGTGTGTAGGAAAATTTTTGTGGTCATGTTAAATGATAGATGATAAACCCAATAAAAAAATATATATGAAGAAAACATATTCCTCTTCATGAACTGTACAATGCCGGTGGTCAGAAGTGGAAGTTATATTTTCTATTAATAAAAAAATGAAGGTTGATCAACTTCCTATGAGAATGACTTTGTTATTTAATATTCACAAACAATGAATGGTAGAACAGTTACTTTGGTATCTGCTTGGAAGCTGAAACAGAGCCCACTAAAACACGCATGCTTGGAAATTCTTCTGCATAACGCCATAGCAAAGGAAAAGAAAAAAGAAACACACCCAAATAAAGCTTAAGAAATTCTCCTACTAAATTATTATTATTATTTTTTAAAAAAAGTACTAATATGAATAACAGAATAAGCATAGAAAGTTCAGTTCCTCCATTAATGGATGCTCTAACTTAAAGTCATATAATTCAGAAACAAAGCATAAGAATCCTTAAGAACTGAATTCCAGTTAGAATATAAGAAGAATTGTGATAACCATATAACCCAATTGGCTGGACAAATCTAAAATCAAACTTAAAAAAACCGAACCAAAATTTTGTACCTTCAGATCATCACTTGATCAAAAATTGCAAAAAAAAAAGAAGAAAAAAGTTTAATTTGAAGTAGTAAAACCTTAATTGGCTAATGGGGTTTGATAAATTCTGCATCTGAAACAGCTGAATCATCGATTTGGCTAACATCATCATCATCCATAGGAGCAGGGAGGTTGAGATCTATCAAACTGTCTCCAAACTTTATGGAACTTCGAACCGGGTTTGTTACTGTTGCTGAACCGGTAACATGTGTTCTCTTGTGTCCACCAAGAGCTTGACCCGAAGCAAAAACCCTGAAACAAACGGGGCATTCATGGATTTTCTTCTCCACCACCATGATAGCACCGTTATTATTCTCATGCCCCACCAATTGAGGTTCATGATCCACCACCTTGATCTTCTTGTGACTCGCTCTGTGTCCACCCAATGCCTGGTAAGATCGAAACACCTTGTTGCACGTGTCACATTTGTACCTTCCTCGTACCCTCGTTGTCGTTTTCAGCTCCTCCTCGGATTCATCACTATCTTCATCTTCTTCTTCTTCTTCTTCTTGATCTTCTTGATCTTCAGCATCATCTTCTTGTTCTTTTTCTTGTTCTTGTTCTTCCTCGCAGTGTTGTTGGCGTTTCCACTTGTCGCGAGACAGCATCATGAGGCAGAATGCGACATCTTCCTCCGTGGTCGTGTCGGAAACCGAGCTTGCTGACTCGTTCTTGATAATGGGTTTGCAAAGTTTGGTTCTTTTTGTGGTTTGGTGATCGAAGAAGCTGAGTTTGCGTGCCCTCTTGGATCGTTTCCGAGTTGGGTTCCTTGATGACTCGGTCTCGCTTTCTCTGTCTTGAAGGATCACGGACCCTGTATCTACAGCAGCGGGGAACGAGAATTCAGGATCCGCGAAGCGAAAGTTCCTCTTTGGGTTCTCTCTGAGGCCATAGGAAAGACCCTTATCTTCTTCTTGATCGAAAGATGATGGTGATGGAGATGAAGCTGACTCGGCCTCGAAGCTGAGTTGAATCGTTGGTGGTGGTGGCGGTGGTGGTGGTGCCTCGTTCGGTTTTGGAGGAACAGGTAGGTTCATCATGTGAGACCTCATGTGACCTCCTAAGGCTCTTCCATTGGAGAAGTTCTTGAAGCAAAGCTTGCACTTGTGCTTCTCCATCATCATCAACAACCAATAAGAAAAAATTGAAGAAAAACCAGAGCAAAGTAACAAACACACACTTGTGTTTAACCTGTTTTTGTTGTGTGAGTGTGTGTGTATCTGTGTGTGTTTTTGCAATATGCAAAACTATAAAAAGAGTAGGTGCCAAGTGAAGAGAAAAATATACACAAGGCCCATAAATATTCAATTTAAAAAAATAATAATATTAAAGTTGATTTTTTTTCTCAATCTTTTTTTTTTGAAGTAATTTCACTTTGTTACCTTTTTCACAGAAAACGCCATAATGAATTCAAGATTTTTAATCTTTTTAAATACTTATAACATGCGAGACTTGCCCGTTTTATCTGTATTTCTATTTTATTTTATTTTATTCCTATATCTCTTTTATTTCCAAAAATACCCTTTGGGATATGGATTAAGAATTAAGATAAAAAAAAAGAGAATTTCAAGAATCTGATTTTGAAGATGTGATTGATATCCTTCAAATTAATTTTGAAATTTTCTCTCTAATCTGTTGAAAATTCTATAATTGTCAAATGAGTTGGGGAAAAAAAAAGAAAAGAAAAGAAAAAGGGTATTTTTAGAAATTCGCAGTAGTTTTGCAGCATAAACCGGTTGCTTGCTTGTCCAAGTCAAGGAAAGAAAACCGAAACTGGTTTTGTTTTTAACTCGTGGCAGAACTGATGGTTAAAATCACCTCGCTGTGATGTAAAGCATAGAGACAACCCATAACCATCAAATTGATGCGTTACACGTAACTCACATCACCTACCTGTCATTTCCGTAGGCAACCAATGGTTAATGCCACGGCGTTTTGGGAAATTGACCTTAATAAACAAAAAACTGAATGAATGTTTTTTCTTTTTTCTTTTTTCTTTTTTGATTTCTTTAATGAATCTTTCTCAGTTTTAAACTTTAATCAGTTACATATATGGCGGCTACGTAAGAGCCAATTGTTGCTTTAGTTACTAGCAAAAAATAATAATCATCAAAATTAATGTGGAAATTATAAAAATTATTAAAGTGTGATTTGTTATTATCCCCAAAACAAATTTTTTTGAGATTTGATGATGATAATGAGGATCAGGCCTTATAGCTATCTGATATGATAATATTGTAATCTTATTGTAACAGTTATTATTTGACATGTTAAAAATCAAAGGGAATAACATCTATCCTTTTAAAGGATATAAACTTATATCCTTTTAGATTCTAATCGTTGATTTCCGTCCATCAACAGTTATAATTTATTGGATTAAAATTATTAATTAATTAATAATAAATTTGGCCCATTAAGTTTGGCCCAATAGATTATGACCGTTGATGGACAAAAATTAACGGTTAGGATCTAAAAGGATATAAACTTATATCCTTTAAAAGGATAGATGTTTTTTCCAAAATTAAAATAAGGTATTAATTATTGGGTCTAAGGAATTTTCTTTGGATGATAATGGTTTAGCCTTTAAATTTGGATCTTAGTTGAAAGGTGTGATGGGAATGAAAGGTGGGGAAATGAAGAGGAAACTAACTGTCATACCTTAGAGAATGGAGTATTTTATGGGATTGGGAAGTAAATGCCGTTTTGTTAGGGTTTGGTAGACCCAGTCCTTGTTCATGCTACTCCTAAGTCTTATTCCTAGTGCTTCCCAACCCACACACTCCCATCTCACGTCTCACACACTAAAACCTTTGCTTTCCTTTTCTTTCTACCAAAGGACGCGGTCCTTCTTTTTTTTGCTTAAATCAATTGCAACATGTTTTATAATGCACCTTAGTCATAAGGGGTGCCGTATGTAATGTGTACAAATTCCCTCTCTCTCTTTTAATTTTTTAAAGAAAATACTTAGCTCCTATAAAAAATTTGTCGTCAATTATTATTATTTCAAGTGAAAAGAAGTTTGATTTCCTTATTAAAGGTATCTAATTTAAAACATTGGAATGAAGAAAATAATCTTGAGCGAGCACCTCAAATATAGGTATGATAATGCTCGAATCGAACAATTCAATCAAAAAAATTTAGATTATTTAGTGAAGATATATTCTCTCACGCAAGAGTCATCAACTGTGAGCATCAAACTCGTGATCTCGTGGTCATGAATGCTTTAATACCATGTAAACAATTATCTCACCGTGAAGATCCTCTAATATAGTATGAATTCGCCCATACTTTTATCAAATTAAATCATATAAATTGGTGAATTCGTGGAAAAAATTTATCAATTTTTTTTGAAAATAATGCATTGATATTTGCTTATGGATAGATGAGTGGTCCTTATTATTTTGTTTTATCCAATAAATATTTTTGACTTTTGACCAAACCAAGTTAAATTATGTCATTTTTTTTCAAATTATTATGTGACATTACTCTCTTTGTTAATGTTATTCACGTATTTGATAGTAAAATAAGAAAAAGTATTATGATTTTGTGTTTGGACAAATAACTTAGATAAATGTTTAGTAAAATAAATTTGATTAGATAAATTTAAAATTTCTGTCCAGGGATATTTGATATTACAAACTGTTTAGATTGAACACACATCTATGCAAATTCTATGCCTAGGGTGGTAAAAAGACTATTTTAGACTTTTAGTTGAAGGTCGAGTTTGACTATAAATTTTTGTATTCACCTGCAAAGACTTTATTAGTTGAATTGGTTAATATATTTGGTTAAATTTAAATTATTATTAGTATAATCTAAAGGAAAATTGAATAGTATTTGGATAGACATTTAAAATAAAATTAATTTGTATAGGACCAAATTGCATGCTTAGATGTCAACACATTTGTAATGTATTTTATTATAGGAGATTAATTTTCTCATGAATTTGTTTTTCATGCTATACATATAATATAAGAGTGGGATTCACAAAAAGAAAAAAAGATAAAAAAAAATTAATATAAAACCCACTCATATATTATATATATGGGCTTTATACTTCTTCAATCATTGTAGAAATTTTTTTTTTGCAGTTGACTCAAAAAAATAGGTCCCGTCGTTTTTAGAAAAAAAAAAAAACGACCCATTTTTTAATGTGAGGCTTGCAGAAGATGATGATTTTTGCAATGACAGAAGAAGCATTTTAGCATATATATATATATATATAGTATGAGAAAAATATTTCATATAAAATGAAAAAACTATTCTCCTTTATTACACGATGTAGTAATCAAGTGTTGGTTTCAAACGTGTTGCTTGACCAGACTGCAAATTGTTTCTCTGTCTGAAACGTCAATAAGGAAGTTCGGATTTTGGGGAGACTAACCACTGATAAAGTTTAGAAAAGAAATTACCTTTATCCTAATAAGTTATACATATTTAAATACAAATTATAATACTTTTTAAAAATAATTTCATATTTAAAATATAATTAATTAACTCTATGAAATAGAATTTTTTTTTATTATTACATAAGTAAGGCAACTGCCTAAGAATGGGAAGGGGGAAGTGTCTTGGGAAAAGTGAAACCTCCGATATTAGCATTATACCAAAGAAGACAAGAAGGGTCAAGCCAAATCAACTGTTTGAAAAATAAAAATTTTCCTGTGTTTACAGATAGAATTGGATAAAAAAAAATTAACTAATTCAATTTAGATATTTTTTTTAAGGGTTTAAAATTTCTAAAATTACTTTAGATAACTTTATCTAATATTCACCAAAATACACACACAAAAAATAGGCTTTTTGACCTTTTTGTCCCTTATTAATTAATTAATAACCATTGTATCCTTTATTAAAAACTATCTACCAATCTGTCTTTCTTTAATCGATTAACTTGAATATTTAATCGATTAAATGGTGAAAATTAGGAAAAATCATTAACTTGATTTAATCGATTAAATTTTCAAATATAATTGATTAAATCTTCGAGAAAACAAATCTCTCAAATCAGTGTTTTCAGACACCCTTGGTTCCTCTGATTCAGATACACCAACAGGAAGTTTGTCCCCAGTCTTATCCATTAGTGGTGTCCATATCAGTAGCTTTTCACTTGCTGAGCCCAAAACATCATTTGAGGAAGATGGATCTCCACCACCAGATGCTCTATATTCTGGTTCAACTCATGATGAGCAACCATTCGTGGTACATCCTAAATCCTAATCCATTTCATTTTCTTGATTACAATATCATCATAAAAATAGTTTTAAGAAAATGATATATGATTTTGTATTCTAATTTTTGTTACCTAAATGTCTAGAAACTCGAACTTTTTCACAAAGAAGGTGTTTCTACCAAAGATGATGCAGCAGAAGAATCATCTCGTCGTACTCTCAAATTGTTTGGAACAACTTTGTTGAAGATCTAATCGATTAAATCTTCAAATCAACGATTTTTGTCAGTTTTGACCATTTAATCGATTAAATCTTCAATTTAATCGATTAAAGAGGGACAGAGTGGTAAATAGTTTTCAATAAAGGACAAAATAATTATTAATTAATTAATGAGGGGCAAAATGGTCAAAAAATTCAAAAAAATGAGGGTTATATTTGTTTCTCTCTTTTCTTCACATGAATCCATATGGAGTATGGACCCACACATTTTTATGTGTGTATTTTGATTAACATTAGATAAAGTTATCTAAAGTAACTTTAGAAACTTTAAACCTTTCTTTTAAATATCATTTAATTGGTTTTGTGCAATTTAGGAATATATTCGAATTCAATTCAAATCGTTTAATATTTTTTTTTTGTTTTTTATCACAATTTTTAATATATAATTTTTTCAAATCATAGAAATAGAATTTAAATCAAAATACATTAAATACAAGTCTAAACTAATTCATCAAAATTCAATAAATATTAATTCAAACAAATTCATTCTAATCAATCCTATAATATATCTCCAAAAAAATTGCTTACAAAATTACTTTTTAATAAGGACTTTTTTTATTAAAAAAATCGGTCTTTTGAAATTGTAATTGAAGTGTGTGATATGATTGTTGTTGTTGCATTTCAGAGCACCTGGAGTAATACAGGAGGAATTGATGCGAATTAGGTAGAAGCCTTGTATTTTGCCATTTTTCTAAACCCGGTGATAAGAGAAAGGTTGTACTTTAATTAATATGCTTTAAAAAAGA